AGGAGGACACGGCCCGCGCCGGGCCCAGCGGCCGAGAGGGAGACGGGGCGGGGACGAACCGAGAGCGACCCAAGGGCCACTGACCAATAAGAAGAAGGAGGAGGCGGACCCATGCTGCCGCCTGGCCACTCGCGGGAGAGAGCAAAGCTCCTCGCCGGTGTAAAGAGGGCTTCTCTAGAGGGACTCTTGGGCCTGGCATCTGATTGGCGGCCCAAGTCAGGGCGTGGTAGGGTTTGGCTTCTAATTGGTCCAGACTGGAGAGGAGGTGGAGTCCAGGGAGAAGTGACCAATTAGAATGTGAGGAAAGAAAAGGGGCGGGCCCGTCTCTAGAGCGGGTTCCCAGATTCTCCGGGACAGGTGGCGCCCTCTATGTCCTTGCGTCCTGAGAAGTTCTGGGGTTTGAGTCTTAGCCCAAGACAGGCAGCTCCTTTATTTAATTAGCTGATTCCTCTGTGAGTGTTTATAGGATAGCCTTTTGACAGTCTATCACCATTCTTCAGTATGCACCACATATTAACATATTTTCTAAATAAGAATGCAGATGTCGTTGCACATGCCCTTCACGTTTGTGTCCCTGTCGGGCTTTTCTGTACAATCTCCTTGAAAGACTTTCCTTGAAAGTTAGGAAACCTGGCCTAGTTCCAACTCTGCCAGTAACTGGAAGCTAAAACTTGAGCGCTGTATTTAGCCAAATTCTTTAAAATGGAGTTAACACTTCCTGCTTCGTAGACCCATAGCAAGAATTATAGTAATAAAGCATCATGCACCTATCATAATACTTATCTCATACTAGGAGCCTAGTAAATATTTTCTTACCCTTTTAGTCCTATCTTACCAGAGGGATTAGAAAGAAAATTGATCTATATTACAGCAAGAGACTTTCTGTTACCCATAAAGAATTTAGTGTCATAGTTAAGAGTATAGAGTAGAGTTGGTCTGGATTTTAAGTCCTGGCAACACCACTCACTAACTGAGTGACTTATATGTTTCTTCACCAGTTCAGTGAGAATAATAATAGTTGTCATGAAGATTTAATAAGTTAATACATGTTAATGTGTTTTGCATAGGACCCAGCAATTAATAAGCATTCATTAAGTGTTGGTTATTAGTAATTGCTGAATGCATCTATGAGAATCCCAGCATTCTTCCGCCACTCTACAGGAGCTTTAGAAAAGGGATCAGCAAGGTATCATTTTTGCATGATTTAGGAGCTGAACAATCTAACCCCAGGTGGGCAGGGCACATAGCCTCTTTGAGTTGATAAACACTGTTAATCTCAAAGTAAACATAAGTCTTTATGTGTGAGGCTAAAAAAGAAGCATTTGGGCCAGGCACAGCAGCTCACACCTATAATCTCAGCACTTTGGGAAGACAAAGTGGGAGGATTGCTTGAGCCTAGAAGTTCAAGACCAGCCTGGGCAACCCCATCTCTATTTTTTTTAAGTTTTACATTCTTTTTAAAGACAGGGTCTTGCTATGTTGTCCAAGCTAGTCGTGAACTCATGGGCTCAAGCAATCCTCCTTCCTAGGCCTACCGAAGTGCCACATCCGGCCATTTTTTTTTTTATTTTAAAAAAATAAGCCAGGCATGGTGACTCATGCTTGGAGTCCCAGCTACTTAGGAGGTTGAGGCAGGAGGATTGCTCAAACCCAGGAGTTTGAGGCTACAATGAGCTATGATTGTGCCACTGCACTCCAGCCTGGGGAACAGAGCAAGACCATGTATCTAAAAAAGAAGAAGAAGCATATGGCTTGTGCCTCACAGTGCTTATGTTTTTCCGTGAGAGACAAGATGTACACATACAACAAGAAGTAAAAGACCAACCAAAGAATGGAGAAACTAGGCAACAGGCAGTCTGATGAGGGAGGCTGGTAGCAGTGATAAGTCGACTTTCCATGTAGAAAGTTTTCAGGGCAATAATCTGGTTGGCAGCTGGCTAAGGGCCTTAATTAAAGCTTAGACCAGGGGTCTCCAACCCCTGGGCTATGGACTAGCACCAGTCTGTGGTCTGTTAGGAACCAGGCCACACAGCAGGAGGTGAGTGGCTGGCAAGCAAACAGAGCCTCATCTGTATTTATAGCTGCTCTCCATCGCTTGCATTACTGCCTGAGCTCTGCCTTCTGTCAGATCAGCACAGCATTAGATTCTCACAGGAGCGTGAAACCTATTGTGAACTGCGAATGCGAGCGATCTGGGTTGTGTGCTCCTTATGAGAATCTAATGCCTGATGCCCTGAGATGAAGCTGAGACGGTGATGCTAGTGCTGGGGAGCGGCTGGAAATCCAGATTAACATGAGCAATGCTTGCAGACTCATATTAAAATAAATCAATTGCTTGCAGACTCATATTAAAATAATAATATCATAATGATTTCATTATATATTACAATGTAACAATAGAAATAAAGTGCACGATAAATGTAACGCACTTGAATCATCCCAAAACCACCTTCTCCCCATCCATGGAAAAATTATCTTCCATGAAACCAGTCTCCGATGCCAAAAAAGATTGGGACTGCTGGCTTAGACAGTGGGCTGAATGAATTTGAAGAAGGTTGGGAAGAAGATGTGGAATGAGTTAGATAAGCAGGACTTGGAGAGCTGGATCTGAGAAGGAAAGGAAGGATGGTTAGGAGGGAAGAAAATTTCAGAAGCTCAGAGGCAGAGGTTGGAAAAGGAAAAGCCTGAACTAGAGTTTAAGAAAAAAAGGCACCTGGCTAGATGGGAGGAACCATGTTAGCCTGTCCTTCCTTCCTGAGGGCAAGACACCAGCTCCTTGTCTTGTTCTGCCACTTACTCACCATGTGTTGTCTTAGACAAGTCATGCAAGCTCAACCCAGGTTGCCTCACTCATCTTGCAAAGTTACTACTGTTCTCACCTCACAAGCTTTAGTGAGCATCCACAATACAGACACAAATGATCTGATTACTTCACATGCCATTGTTAAGTCACAAAAACATGCTCAGTAGGCAGAGGAAACACCCCAGGCTCCATGTAAACAGGAAAACAACCCCTTCCAGATGCACAAACTGCCCAGCATGATTTTAACAGAGTTAAAATGCAAACGTTAATATGCAAAGTTCTATGCTAGCTACAGGGAACACAAGGCTTTCCTTCCACAGTTCAAGCCACTTCAACTGTAAAGCCTTTCTGGAACTACAATCTCCCCACAAAATCAGGTGCTTTCTCCTCTGTGAACGTTATACACACCTGTATAAGCATGTGTCACACTGCTTTGAGAGTCTTTGCTTTGAGAAGGAGGTTGCACAATGCTTTGAAACGAGCTCAGACATACCAGGATTGAAGACCAGCACCAACACTTAGAAACTTTGATTTAGGCAAAATTGCCTAACCTCTCTGTGACTCAGTTTCCTCATCTGTAAAATGGGACATACCTCATAGAGTTGCTGTGAGAATTAAATAAGAAAAGAATTGAAGCCGGGCTCCTTGGCTCAGTCTGTAATCCCGCGCCTTGGGGAGGCTAAGGTGAGTGGATTGCCTGAGCCAGCGGGTTCGAGACCCACCTGGGCAACTTGGCGAGACCTCATCTCTACAATAAATCAAAAATTAGCAGGCGTTGTAGCGTGCGCCTGTAGTTCCAGCTACTTGGAAGGCTGAGGCGGAAGGATCACCAGAACCCAGGAGGTCAAGGCTGTGGTGGCCGGGAGCTGCCACTGCACTCCAGTCTGGGTGACAGAGTGAGACTCCAACTCAAAAAAAAAAAAGAAAAGAAAAGAAAAGAAAAGAAAAGCACTGAGTACCAGGGTCTGTTACAAAATAGGTAGTGAGTGTTGACAATTATTAGTTGAATAAATGAATTATTTGTTAAGTGTATGAATGATTATTGAATATCATTTCCTCCAACTAGACAGAAAGCAAGTTCCTTTTTTTTTTTTTAATTGAGTTGGGGGATCACTCTGTTCTCTGTTGCCCAGGCTGGAGAACAGTGACACAATCACAGCTCACTGCAGTCTCGAACCTCCTGGGCTCTGGCAATCCTCTGGCAATCCGTCCACCTCAGACTTCCAAATAGCTGGGACTACAGGCACGTGCCACCACACCCGGATAATGCCTTCTTTATTTTATTTTTTTGTAGAGACAATATCTCACTCTGTTACCTATGCTCATCTCAGACTCCTGGGCTCAAGCAATCCTCCTGCTTCAGCCTTGCAAAGTGCTGGGATTACAGGCATAAGCCACCACACCCGGCCAAGCTCCTTGAGTTCAGGGGGTTGTCTAATTCACCTTTGGGCTCCTGTCACCTAACACATCCCTGGCACATGGTAGATGCTCAATAAATGATTGATGAATGAAGAAATGAATGAATGAATGAAAATCTGGCCCTGTCTCCAAAGGATCTTCCGTCTCACGGAGACTGGTCATTTTCTTTTGATTGCAAGTGACATAACCCAGTATTAGGAAACGTAACCAAGAAAGGAACATCCAGGTGAAGTGGGGACCAAAGTGAAGCCCAAACTTTATGTACACAATGACAATTTATATCCTGAACCCTGAATTGTACCCCACAACTTAAAGAAAAGAAAAGAAAGGAACGCGTATGGGAACTCTCCTGAAAATAGGGAAGGGTTGGGACTCAAGAAAGTCCCAAACTTCAGCAACAAAATATTCTAGACCTTCCTCCTAATCAAACCCCTTCTGATGCTTAGCGCTCACCCACCTACCACCTTCATATTTCCTAGGTCAAACTTCTAAACTCTCAGGAAAGAGAAAACTGATTAGCCCAGCTCAGGG